ATGGTAACATTAGATGAATCTGGGAGAAGGGTATACAGAAACTACTATTTTTGCAATATTTAAAATTATTCCAAAATAAAAATGTAAAGAAAAGTAAAAGAAGGGCAGCATCTGTGGCTCAAAGGAGTAGGGCACCAGCCCCATATACCGGAGGTGGCGGGTTCAAACCCAGCCCCAGCCAAAAACTGCAAAAAAAAAAAAAAAGTGAAAGAAACACTCAGGACTAGAATGGTCATAATATGTTTCCTGTGTAAGAAATGATTAGCTGTCAGCCTGAAATTGTGGGTAGAATCTTACAGAGGGTGAGGGAGGAAAGCCTTCCCAGGAGGGCGGGAATAAGCCACCAGCTGACTGGTTGGTGGCAGGGGCACTGGGCAGTGGATGTCAAGCTGAGACTGGTGGAGGAAGACAGGAGACTCGATTATGGAGAAAGCTGAATTGGAAATAACTAGAGAGGAAATGAAAGCATTGAGGACTCACTTAAAAAATATGGTAACAAAAGAAAACCAAATAGTAGGGAGGTGGCCGGCAGGGACACCAGGAATGCATGAAGCAGAGTTCTCCACTCACTCCCTCCATCCAACAAACAGGGATTTCAGTGCCAGGGCACTGTGGTGGGAACTTCACTCATATTTTCTCAGGCCTTGCAATGTATTTTTTAAGGAAGAATCAGATGGGAGCAATCAGGGTGCCGCAAATCCTGATTATGCAGAGACAGCGATCCTATTCCAGGTGAGTTCTAATCAGCGTGTTCCAATCTGCCCTCCCAAAGCAGAAGCAGGCGAGGATTATCCTGCCTCTCACAACTGTTCAGGTGGGTATGATCTCTCCAGCAAACACTTTCCGGGCACTTCCATGATATCAGAGAGTGTTTCAGGTGATGAATGTACAGTAGAGGACAAAAATATGCCCTACCCTCTTGGTTCATGTTAACATTAAGCAACTGGTGTCACACATCGTGACAAACTGCAGATGGTAGAAAGGGTACTATTACAGGATTTTTGATCATTCAAATAGGGTTGAGTTCAAGTTTCACCTTTGTCCTTAAAATAGGGTTGAGTTCAAGTTTCACCTTTGTCCTTAAAAAAAAAAGTTTGCTAAACAAATTAATAGAGGAAAGGTCATGACATCTTCGTGCAAAACATTTCTGTTTCCAGAGAAATGTGCAAATGGGCCCCCTGGGTTTGCTGTGACTCTTAGGGCCATTCTGACTGTGGGTACTGACTTTGGTTGGTGTCACATGGAAACTTGCTGTGCTGTTTTCTTGACTCTTTTAACACAGTCCAGAATGATTCTAGGACTGTGCTCTGAACGTGGTGGAGCTGGTGTTTAACACTGAACCTGGGAAACCAGCTTAGGCTGGCTGCCCAAAAGTCCCCTTCACTTTATCTGCCCGAGGCAGCCTAGAATTTGCAATGTCAGACGCTTCCTATCAGGGTGGAAACTGTGGAGCTTCCAGGCAGCATTTATTCCAGCCCTGAGGTTTCTCACTTGGTCTTGACACCATATTTCTGTCCCCAGGAGCCCCTAATTATTTTCCATTTTCCCCAGACTCTGCCCCCTGTTTTTAACTCTGCCTGATAAATTGAAATCACTGCTGATGGTTTCTTCTTGTTTCTAAGTTGGTTTCTTAAAAAAGCAAAGCTTTCATCACCCGGATGGGTTTCATCACCTTTTGGCCTGCCCCTGTCTGGGAGGCAGGTAACTTCTAATTTTTAGGTATACGATTGTCTCTAGAGCAGACTGTCTCTTGGCCTTGGTTTTAGTGTCTTGTTGCAGCAATTAACTCCAACTCGTCCTGGGGCACCTTTGAAGAAGTGACAAGTGGTCCTGTCCTCCCAGACATTTGTTATCTGAGCTTTTTGGGTGCTTTCAGGTCTCAGAGGTAGATGTGTCTTACAAAGTTTGTATTTGTGCATGTCTATGGAATAATGTCGCCATCCTGGTCAGAGTAAAAAATTATTCATCATTATAATAAATTTGAAAAATGTGACTTAAGAAATCAAAGGCAAGATTATTAAAATAAAACTGAGTTAAAATAGTATTGCAGTGTAGTCTCTTTTAATTCTATCTGTGATGACTATTGGCCTAACCAACCTCAAACTAGGTCACAGAGTGTGTAAGTGGAATCAGTTTTCATTTGTCTGAACTCGCCAGGACGTAGCGTCCTTTCCCTAGAATCTTCATGGACTTACTGGCTCATTATGCTTCTGATTTATTGGAGAGTCTGAAGCTCTTGGCTGTAAGAACTATTCCACTCACTCTCTTCTTTGGCCCTAAATATTTTCTCCTTTTCTAGTCAAGAATTTCATTAAATCTTTCTTGCCTTTTCTAATAACCCATGAACATCACCTGGAAGTGGCATTTGAAGACTTTTCTATGAAAAATAAGTTATCCCAATTGCACTAGAGCTGAACTTTATTCTTGCAGGCAATTTAAGCTTTTCTTTGAGTTAACGTTCTCCATTTCCATCCAAGTTGCCACAGAAGATATTATTTCATTCTTTTTTTATGACTGAGTAGAACTCCATGGCATATGTGTGTGTATGTGTGTGTATCACATTTTCTTAATTCGCTCATGCAATAACGGGCACGTAGGTTCACTTCATGTCTTTGCAATTGTGAATTGTGCTGTGATAAAAACATTCGGGTGCTGGTATCTTCTTGATAAAAGTACTTCCTTTCCTTCGAGTAGATACCCAGTAGTGAGGCTGCTGGATTGAATAGTAGGTCTACGTTTATTTCTTTGAGGAACATTTGTACCATGTACATGTATTTATTTTTTATTTATGCCTCTATTTTATGGCTATAACGGTTAGTGTAAAGGTGTTGAAACAAAGTGTTTTCATTTTATTTCTTCTGATTTTCATTGACTACACTGGTCTTTGGTCTAATGGAACTTCACCTCCACTCCCTGCTGCCTGGTCTCACCGTAGACATCCGTATGTTGATAATGACATTCTTTCCTGGGAGGAGATGCAGCCTCCAAATTCTTCACAACATGACCTTCTAGGGAGGCTCTGTCCAGGATCAGAAGAAACAGTAACAGAAAACACATGCGCCATTCACAGGTGAGTCCTTGGTTTTACAGCAGAGAAGCTGGAGCCCGGAGAAGCCAGGGGACTTGTCCAAAGCCTCACAGGGCTAGCCAGGGTGAGGGAACTTGGGCCACCCCACTCTCTGATGAATGATTATCTTTCTGTCATCTGTATCACTGGTTATCTCGGTTTCTAATTAGCATGTTTCTGTCACCAGTTACACTGGGGTAGCCTTAAATGGGAAGAAAATGTGTGTGTATCTATACGTACATATATTACAATATATATGTGTGTGTGTGTATATTACATTAAGTTCAGTTAGTTGCAAGTAATTACAAACAAAAGGAAGCAAGGCCTTCATCCCAAGGTGCCTGTGACATTCCTGAGGAACACGTCAAGCTTTGCGTGCTCTGCAGCCTCGCGGGTGGCACTGTGCATCTGGCTTAATCTAATTATTGTGACATGATCTCGTACTCAGGCTGAAAATGAAAGCACTTCACCAAGCTCAGCAGCAGCAGCAGACTGAGCGTACTTTAGAGCTTCATGCTTGTAAGCACAAATTGTGATATTTCACTGCTCTGAAATGATGCCTGATGAAACGATTGCGAACATCATTCTGTGGAGCACGGTACGTCCAGGAGCGGGATGCTCACTGCTTTAGCACCTATGGGAAGCTCGTATGGGACTGTTAAGTACTTTACTGAAGAACAGTAGGGAAGTGGTGTTTGCTATGATTAAGACTGTGTCTCAGCCAAGGTGGGAGGATCACTTGAGCTCAGGAGTTTGAGACCAGCCCAAGCAAAAGCAAGACCTCATCTCTACTAAAAAGAAAAGAAAAAAAATAGCCTGGCATCATGGTGGGTGGCTGAGGCAGGAGTATTGATTGCTTGAGTCCTGGAGTTTGAGGTTGCTGCGAGCTAGACTGAGGCCATGGCTCTCTGGTCCAGGCAGCAGAGTGAGACTCTGTCTCAAACAAAACAAAACAAAAACAATAACAACAAAAAGAAACCTAAATGCCCATCAACCCAGGAATGGAGTTATGTACACCGTGGAATACTATTCAGCCTTCAAAAGATAAAGACTTTATATGTATCTTTTGTATTAACCTGGATGGAGTTGAAACACATTTCTCTTAGTAAAGTATTGCAAGACCGGAAAAGCAAGTATCCAATATGCCAATACTAACATGAAGCCAGGAGATGAACTTAATACATGCCCACACAAGAGAAACACTCAATTCAATTCAGCTGGGAGGAGGGGGAGGAATTGGTGTGCCCTCCCCTGATGGGTACAGTGTGAGGGCATATGGCACCCCTTCTGGGTGCAGGACACAACTACAGCAAGGGCTTTACCTGAAAAATGCAAACATTATACCCTAACCATTTGCACTCTCATATTAATTTGAAATTAAAAAGAAAGACTATATGTTAGAGAAGCAGAGATGCCTTGACCATATCATAGACATGGGAGAGGGAGTGGAGTACCCAGCTCCACACTGGATTTTGGTGACTTAATCAGCACTCGCTGAAAGCCTGGTCAAGAGGTTCTCAGTTTTGGCCAAGAATTAGAATCTCCTGGGGAGCTTTTTAAAATGTGCGATTTAATTCTGGGCAGGGCTGGGCATTGGCAATTTTTAAAGCTCCAGCTGATTCCTGTGTACAGCCAGAGCTGAGAACCAGTGGCCCAGTACTCAGGGAGGAAAACTTGCAGATCTTCACAAACGCATCAACCAGCCGTTTGGGGGATCCCCTTCCTTTTAAATCCTGTGCTGGGATTGCTGTGAGAGTCAATGTAGCAGCAGGAGAAACAAGGTGTGTGTGTGTGGGGGGGGGGGCAGTCACCGCTCAAAACCTGCACCAGATGTTTAAAAACTCACTTTCTATGTGAGTTGCTCAATGTAAAGTCCAGTGACAAATCATGTCTGGACTATGACTCTAATATTTGCTTTAATGAAAAAGGGCTTACTCAACTCATCAGTCTATCCATTTAATGAGCTTTTACAAAAATACATGGTGCAAAACCAAAAAACAAGCAAACAAAAGAAAGCCATGGTGTGTGCTCTCTCTGCTCCCCCAAACCCTGCAGCGTGTGCTCTCTCTGCT